CGAAAGAAAGCCGAAAGTTAACTTTTCTGTTAGGCCGAAAGTGATCAGTCATTTTTTTTCGTTCAAAATTAAACCGTCAAACCGTTTTTCCAGTTTATATAATGAGTTTTTCGATTATCACATCATTTCAATTTCTTGGTACTGGGTTTAGAAAACGGTCCGATTGATCAAATGCCAATTTGAAGAAAAAAATCATGACTATTTTCTTTGTAGAGGGTATTGCGAGGAGTAAATCAAAAATACTTACAAAAGGCACCAACTTTCATTATTTAATATATAAAATTAAGTACGTTAGAGTAGATAGAAATTTAAAATAACATTTTATAGTTATTTAATTTCTTTGAAAATTAATGCTATCTTTCTTTTCCATTCAGATATATCACATATTAATAAATATATAATGTCTTTTGTAAATTTTTCTTTCTTCTTATTTATTTAAATTAATTTTAAAGAATGATATATTCTAAATAGTTCTACAAAATCTTTAGAATTTTTCTACAAAAGAGTACTTTTCTCATTTTGTTCTCAATCTAAATTGTGAAAAATACTACTTAATTTGTCAATTGAATCAAAAAGGGTAGAAACATTGGTGTCTTCATTAAAATTTAACTAATCCTTTGGATCACTTCACTACAATATTATCAGAATCAATGGGAAGGAATATTACAACGTCAGCCCCCACACATTTTACCACCCCTCTGTACTTTATTAAAATTATTAAGATCTAACACTTTTTTACTACGCATTGTTTTCCATCTTTTAAAAAAGTACGTATTAGCAAAATGCCGCATATTTAAAGTTAGGGTAAATTATTTCAACATTAAACCTATAATTAAGTTAAAATCAGAAACTTAAATTAATTTTAAGATATTGATATTAAAATTAACAAATTTGATCTTTATACCGTTTATTCTTATTTGGATGAGTGATAATTGAATTGGTGAATGGTGTTGGCAATGAATATTTAATTTCAATTAGGGCTTAAGCATCATATTTTAATTTAAAATATTTAAAACAATTAGTTTGTATTAAAAAATTGACAAAAGTGTATTTTTGAAATAAAAAAAAGGAAAAGTTATTTAATGTTAAAAATAAAAAGTTACAATTTGGTGTCTTTTTTAAAAAATTTGAAAGCAATCCATTGTATTTATAAAAAAAAAAAAAAAAAAAAGTGTAAACAACAGTATCAACTTTGTCACGCTCGTTTATTTATTTAACTTTATTATAACTTTACTTTAATTTTTTTCTTTCTTTGATTTCAAGCAAAACTTTATTTTGTTATTGTTGAAAGACATTTAGATAATATACATTTAAATTTATTTTCGCAATAAAAAATTTGAAAGAAAACCATTGTATTTATAAAAAAAAAAAAAAAAAAAAAAAGTGTAAACAACAGTATCAACTTTGTCACGCTCGTTTATTTATTTAACTTTATTATAAGTTTACTTTAATTTTTTTCTTTCTTTGATTTCAAGCAAAACTTTATTTTGTTATTGTTGAAAGACATTTAGATAATATACATTTAAATTTATTTTCGCAATATTAGCTACGCAATAAATTATTTTATGAAATTGCAAAAGAGGTTTGGGTTTTCGATAAATTTGATTATAAATGAATGATAGTAAAATTCTGATATGAATTTATAAATATATGTATGTGCTAAACTGACCATAACGTCAAAGAGACAAAGCTATTTAAATACGTTCTCTTTCTTAAAAAACAATGATAGTTATTTTATGTTATTTTACGGATATAGAATATATTTAAAAGCGAAAAGATTTAATTTAATGTATCATCTTTTTTGGTAAATGGTTAAGTATTATAAATTACAAATACATTTTAAATAACAATAAATGAACTATTTTAAGCAAATTATCGGAGTTTGTATGGTATGAAAACAAGGTTTAATGAAACAATTATGATCTAAGAATTTGATTGTAATCACATTTATGTGGAAAAGCCAAAAAATGTGTTGTTTTAAGAGCATTTTTAGTGTGTTGTTAGTTAAATTAAAATAACCATGCAAACGACGTCACAGCACGAACTGCCTATTTAAGCAAAAGCTCTAAGTTTCTTTGATTTAAAAACCACGCGTGACAAAGCTGATAAGATAATGTATTTTCCCTTCTTAAAAGTACAATTAATAAATATAATTTATTGCTTTTTATAATGGTAATAAATCACAACAAATTTTAGCTTAGAATATTTACATTTAATTTTTCAGTTATTTTTCATTACAAAAATATACTGTTATTAAAATGTAATTTAGTAAAAACGTACACTTAAATATAATTTAAATAAGAAAAGGTCCCTTTAGTCTTTTCAGTGCAGTAAAACTCCATAGCCAAATAGCATTTACTTATGTACTTATCACTTATTCAATTAGAACAAAGCCTGTGAAGTGCAAAATTTGTGTGTTTCGTACAAAGGTGTTAAAATTCCATGGATGATTGTATTAATTTTTTATTAAAATAGGAATTGTCGGTGATGGGTTGGGTGGATTGTATTCGATACTTACATTTTGTAGCACAAGATGCGCCTCAGAATAAAGGATTACATTTCATGGAAATGTAACCTTTTTGTATATATATTTGCGGGTGGGAAATAGCGTGCGTATATTTTTACGTGACTGACAATGTCTGCAAATTAAATTATATAAGAGTTGAGAAAAAGGGATGTGACATTGTCTTTTTACAAATAAATATACGATTGCCAGTTAAGAAAATCATTTGCGTTAACAAAACGTTGGTAGATGTACATACGTATATCTGTCACTAAAAAAATTAATATAAAAAAACCAATCATTCTACACATTTGAAAATTAAATTTAAAAAAATAGAAATGGGTATAGACTTTCTTTTACAAAAATGAAATATTTTTTTGATTTTGCTTTGCGAGTAAAGTGTGTATATTATTATGAGATTAATAACATTTTTGTAAAAAAAATACACTCAAGGCTAATACGAACGTAAATAAATGTTTTAATACTTTATTCTTTAGTAAAATAATTCCCTGTTTTCGGATAATACAGTACAAAAGAAAGACTAAACTGTTGTTAAACTTTTAAAAGAAATAAAAGTATATCGAATTCCCTTAATATAAATTGTGTTTAAAACTTTAACTGGTAAAAGGTTATCGTTGTAAATTTAAGATTACGTTTCCACAATTTTTAGAGAAAAAAAAATTGTTTACATGCACAAAAAGTGGTAGGGTAGGCAAAACGTTTAACAATTTAAAAATAAAGGACATGTAAAATTTTTCAGTAGCGTAGAAGTTAGCCATCAATGAATTGCTTTAGTGACAATAATGATTGAATTAGTGATCATTTAGATTTGGTAATTTAAGAAACTATATATAGAAAAAAATAATTGCAATTTAGTGGCGCGAAAAAGGGTAGGTTAGCCATATAATATATAGCAGAAAGTACTTCTTAAAACTTTGAATGATGTTATAAATAAAGGCATCATTACATAGATACTTCTTTTTAAAGTAAGAAATTGTGATGCGTTTTCCCAATAGCAGGTGTAAATTATCGCAATATTCCTGTCATTATTTTCTCGATAATATCCGTTTATATTTTCCATTTGATAGTAAAGATAATACCCACAAGTTAAAATTCGATAAAATACTTAAAATATTTCTGCAATTTCTATTATTATTTCTTTTTAAATGTATAATATTAATACTTCGAAAATTTACTCAAAAATAAGCGGAGACAGTTTATTTATTTTACATTAAAATTGATTCAGGCTTTTTTGGGGACCTGATATGGATACCTTAGCACATTATATAAATAAATATATATGAACAGTTTATTTAAAAGTCTCATTCCAATTTTAACTCTCCAGTAAATATATTTTCGAAAAGAGCATTAATGTGTTTAAAAAAATAATATTTAATGAATGATAATGTATTTTATTTAAAATTTTTACTTATCCTAACAGTGTCCGAAAACTAAAATATTGTCTATTTATAAATGACTGCACTTAGTCCTCAATTGAAATCTGCATTTAAATTGCTGTTGTGAATGCCATGGACGTAGCTCAAGTGTTTTTCGCCCGGGGACAAGATTCATTTCAAAGTGCTTCCTTTTCACTTTTTAAACTCTATAACCATTTTTTTTCATCAATAAAATAATATCATAGCACATTTGGCTCCCCTAATTAGCTGGGGCCCGGGAAAATCTTTTCCACCCTGCAAACACTTCGCTACGTCTCTTGTGTCTGCAATGACAAATCATTCATTAATTTTAGTTTTTACTTGGTGAATTGGATTAATTTAATTTGTATTTCCAGCTTTTTGTCGGTAGGATTTTATGCCAACTGTTTTATTTCTATGTGATTAATTTAGGACTTAATAAAATGTTAGAAACATACTCTAGGTTTCTTTGGTCTTTAACTCAAATTTGACTTTTGAATATATTTTTAAGATAAATTAAAATATTTTTGAAATGTCCACTTCTTTCTAGTGCTCATAGTTCATTTAATGTCGTTTTTTACAGTTTTCAAATCAATTTTTTAAAAAAATAATATTTTTTTACTTAGGTTGTAATAAAATTTAAGATTTTCATCGGAAAATGACTACAACACTACATTTCTTCTGTTTCCGTCACAGGAGACTCTTTTTTCTTTCATTTTTGCAGTGGCTAAATTTAAATTGAGAAACAAATAGGTCTGCAGTAAATTTTGATTTGATATACAAAATCAATAACTTCACACTAATTGTAGTTAAATCTCGTAATAAGACATTTTCAAACACTAAATCTCATAGCTTTAAAAATAACTTACAGATTTATTATGTTTTTTTTTTCTAATTATAAATCTGCAATTGTTTTATTTCAGCACGAAATGGATAACATAAGTTTTGAAGATGCCACTCTCCATGAAGATCCGACCAACTTGACAACAGGTTCAAGCAATATTAATTTTCTGATGTATGACATGTCGATTATCGCTGAAACTGTTCTAGACTGTATCATAACTTTCGTTCTTGGGATCATTGGAATAATGACTAACATTTTAAATATGTTGGTTCTGTTTCGCCATGGAATGGAAGATTCTACAAACATTGTCCTATTTGGTCTCTCTGTGACAGACCTGATCTTTTCATGTAGTGAAACATTTAACAGAATTATATCGATTGTGTTTAGACTTGATTTCTTTTTGGCTTACACCCTGTCAGGATACTACATAGTTGGCTTTATGAATGTCAGTAATTATGCTATGTGCACTAGTGTTTGGATGGTATCCATAATATCTTTCGAAAGAATGTTAGCTGTGTGTTTTCCATTTCTCACTTCAACCATTATAACACCTAAAAGAATGAAGTTCATGGTCACAATTGTGTATGTAGTTTTAGCTATTCTGTACATTCCTTTTTTTGTAACGTATGATCTTGATTGGGGTTTTGATAGTAGATACAATAAAACACTGATAATACTGTTAAATAGGAAGGAATATCTGAACAACAAATGGTGGATAGACATATTTGCTGATGATATCTTACCAGCATTAGGAACTACTGTACCCATGACAACAATACTTTTTTGCACATTTGCAACAATTGCAAGTCTTCGAAAGGCTACTAAAAATATTGGGAATCTTACAACATCTCTAACCAAGCGCGTTAAAGAAATGAGATCAATCAAAATATCTCTTATAATTTGTTGCGGTATGGCTTTTTCAGTGTTGATTCCCAATGCCTGTCTGGATGCTTATCCAACAATTAAGGGCGAGTATTTACCTCCTTATTTGGCTTTATTCATTAGATCATTCACACAAGTAGCTGTTCAATTCAACGCTTCGATGAACTTCTTTATTTATGTCGCTTTGAGTTCAAAGTTCAAGAAAACATGTTTAAAATTGATTCATTGGAAATAAAAGGAACCAATCATTGCGGGAATATGATAATAGGATTAATTTGCATATTTACAAAAGACAACTCATTGCTCAATTCAGGAGAGACCTATTTTCAGTTCTCAAAAATATTTTTTTTAAAACTAATATATAAACTCAATACTCTTATAAAATTTATTTGGTGATTAACCTGATAATTATCGATGTTAAATGAATATATTGTATTTTTTTAAAATTGTTTCCACAAAAAATGTAATGAAAGCAATTAAAACCCTCTTTGCCAGCTTCACGTTATAGAAATTCAAGAAGTCGTTCAAGTGTCTAATGACATTTAAGTATCATTATTTAGCTTTGATTCTTTCGAATTGATTAGTTCAATAATCTAGTTATATATATGCAAATAAATATAAAGCAGATAATATGAAAGATGTGCAAATATATTTCTACCATAACAGTAGCATTTTATGCAGAAGATTATAGAAGAGCAATAAAATGCGGATTTTTTTTAAAAATACCTTCTGATGCATTTTTTTTTAAAGTGTAATTTTCTTTATAAAACTTAAAAAGATGATATTTGATCTAGAATTATTATTATTATTTTAAAACAACACAATTTGCTTTATGTTAGTAGTTTTGTAGATTTTTCCATGGTTTTAGTTATAAACGAATTTGTTATTTTACAATTAAAATTGGTCATACAAGAACAATTTTCAATTATTGAGAAATTTTTAAAGCAAAACTCAAGCATATTTCAAAATCATTCTGAAGTTGCTAGCTATCCTTTAAATTTTTCCTTCTTCAAGCTTTCGAAACATGTGAGTTGGATTAGCATCAAACATTTAAAAAAAAAAAAATTCTTGTTTTGTAGATAATTAAAACTATCAGAAATTCAATTAAGCAATTTTAGGCATATTTGTAATTTGTATCGTTTATTCTCTGTCAATGAGCAATCTTAGGAAAAGCAAAATACCCCATTTCAATTTAAAACCATTTGTGTTTAGAAAAAATATTGCATAAATTAGCGTCTTTGTGTCAAATTATACATAATATTAATTTTAACTTTTTTTTGGATAGTACTATATATTTTTTAAAGCATTTATTTTTAAAACGTTCACAATTTGTTTATAAGTGTTACATTCAATTATTTAATAAATAAAAAATCTGAAAGACTGACTAAAAATTTTGAGCTTTATTCTTAAAAGAATTGTTTAAAATGGCCACACAAAAAAAAATTACATTTATTTTCTCTTTCTCTCTATCTCTCTCTCTCTCTCGCTGTCTGTGTGTGTCTTTCTGTCCCTCTCTCTTTGTCTCTAGCTTCAAAAGAAATATAGTCTATTATAAATTCTGAAACTTTATATGAATTAAAAAGTAAAATAAAATTAAAAAGAATTAAATATCAAATGAGTGATTCATCTGTTGACTTGTTCTTAACGATCAGTTTCATTTCTTAAATAAAATATCTGCATGCATTAATTAAATTGTTATTCCAACTTGCCTTAACACATCTTTAGTCCGATGTGAACCTGTATTAGAAATTTAGCCTTGACAAAGAGGACTACGTGGGTACTTAAAACAATCAAGGCCATACTGTTTTTTATACAGCAGCTGAAATGTATTAAAGAAACAATTAAACAATAATATTATTCCACACATCTACTGCGTACCAGATAATCTACATACTTTCTATCTACATACCTAAATACCTAACTACGTGTCTGACAGAAAGTATTTAAATCTATCTATCTATCTATCTATCTATCTATCTATCTATCTATCTATCTATCTATCTATCTATCTATCTATCTATCTATCTATCTATCTATCTATCTATCTATCTATCTATCTATCTATCTA